GGGTGTTAAGCATATGGAATTGAAATACTTGTCAGTAAAAGAAGAAGTACAGAAACAGAGAGTGTCAATTTGGCATATTAAAACTGAACTTATGGTTGCTGATCCTTTGACCAAAGGTTTAGCGCTGAAAGTCTTCTCCTGTCATGGGGAGAGTATGAGAATTTTGGATAGAGCCTTGTTATCATTGTAATTTTGGTTTTCAGTTTTATGATATATTGACTCGGTTGAATTCAATTAATGTTATATCTCTGTTTGCACCTATGGTTGTCAGTATCGAAATTAAAGTTGACCTATGATGCATGGAAGGGAACATGTTGTTCAAATAATGTGCGACCGCCATGATCTAGCTAACTTTAATTTGAGTAAAGGTTCATTGATGTTTTGGGATATTTCGCGAATTAAAGTTATCCTAATGCATCAATGATACACATGGACTAAGTGGGAGAATGTTAGAATATTTTATTCTAATGTTATTGTGGTCCATGTATTAAAGTGGTCTGGACAATTAAAATCCCGTTGTGATAGGTAATGGGAATAAAATATATAACGGATCAAGGGGTTATTACTCCCCTCTCTTTGGCTTTCAATAGGGCTATTTAAGCCTACTTAATATTTGGTTTATGGCCATTATTGCCATAATTCCAATAATCAATATTGGAATGTAAGTTATGTATAGAAGGCAATATAAAAGGGCATAAGCATTTTCTTATCCTATCACTGTGAAAACTAACGTGAAAGACCAGAGGGAAAAGTATTCTGAAAACACTCTACAAACTTGCATAAAGAAGTTGTGAAGAGGAAAGGGTTGAAAGCTTCATCATTCTCTCATGGAATCAGGTTAGTACTTTAACGCTTCCGATTAAAGTATTGGTTAAATCATTCCATGCCTATTGTTATAGTTTTACACGTAATGTTGAGATTAAGGAGTCATTGATGAATCCAGATTCATCAAGTGATCCTTTTTCCTGTTGTTGTTCCTATTGCTGCAGTGTAGCCTTATGGAAATACTTTGGAACAACAACAACTAGATGCTTCAATTCCACATGAGGAAGCTATTGTAAATGAAGATGAGGTTGAAACTCAAGATGATGATCAAGTGCAATCTCAGCAGTAAGTGGCATTAAGGAGATCTACTAGATAGAAAAGGTCAGTCATTCCTGATGACTATATTGTTTATGCACTTGAGCATGAAAGTGACTTGAGCATTCATAATTATCCAGTCTCATTTAACCAAGCCATACAGGATAATAATTCTCCTTGAGAATTATTTTAGCTTTGGTGGCTCATTCTGTTTTTGAGCTCCGCCAAATGGTTGTTAAAATTGCCTTTCTGAATGGTAAATTAAAAGAGGAAGTGTACATGGATTAGCCGCAAGGCTTCATGGCCACAGGAAAGGAAAATCTGGTATGTAGATTGAAGATGTCGATCTATGAATTAAAACATGGTTCTAGACAATGATACTTGAAATTGTCATTTGGTTTTGATCACTGTTGATCAGTGTATCTACATAAAGGTTTAATGGAAGCAAGTTTGTAATCCTAGTATTACATGTTGACGACATTCTTCTTGCTGCTAACAATAAAAGGGATGTTGCGTGATGTTAAGGAATATCTTTCTAAGAACTTTGAAATGAAGGATATGGGTGAGACTTCATATGTGATTGGAATAAGAAATATTCTGTGATAGATCACATGAGATTTTAGGTTTATCCTATAAGACTCACATTAACAAAGTTTTAGAAATATATAAATTGGAAAACTGCAAAAGATGGTCCTGTGATACTTACAAGGCACTAAGGACCACATGCTCACCTATAAAAGGAACGAATAACCTGGAGGTTATAGGTTATTTGGATTCAGACTATGCCGGATGTTTGGATACCCGAAAATCCACATTCGAATATTTTTTTCCACTTGCTCATGGAGCAATATCTTGGATGAGTGTGAAGGAGCCTGCCATTGCTACTTCCACTATAAAGGCAGAATTTGTAGCATGCTTTGAGGCTACAATTCAATAATCATGGCTGCGTAATTTCATTTATGGTTTGGGCATTGTCGACACTATAGCCAAACCATTTAGGATTCATTATGATAATACAGCAGCTATGTTCTTCTCAAAGAACGACAAATATACTAGTGGTGCCAAGCACATGGATTTGAAATTTCTGTCTGTTAAGGAGAAGGTACAAAATCAAACGAGTATCAATAGTGCATATTGGCACCGATTTTATGATCACGGATCCGTTGACTAAGGGATTAGCGCCCATGACCTTCATTAGCCATGTTGGGAGGATGGGCATACTGGTAAAGTCCTTGTATAACGGTTAACTCTGCCATACATGTATGGATTTATGTTTGATAGCACAACAGGTTGATGATACTCTTAGATATCTATTCAGGTTTTGATTTTGTTATGGTTGATGTTGATCACTTATTTATGCATAATTCAGAAGTGATAACAATGGTCTTGTTTAAGACATAAGAAATAAGGTAATTTCGGATTTTACCTTATTATTATGGTTCGAATTCTTATTAACTGTGATACATGGAAGGGAGCGGAACGCTATGTCAGGCCTGTAACCGCCATGATTCGGTTAATAAATTTCGATAAGGTGGTGACTTTTACATTTTCATATTAAGTGAGCTCAAATTAAGGATTGAAAATTGTAAAGTCACGCATATACGAATCAAGTGGGAGATTGTTAGAAATAATTTATTCCTAACGTTGATTCATATAATTAAGGTGTCATGCTCATATGAATCAGTGGGAGACTGTTAGAAATAATTATTTCCTAACAATGATTTATATAATAAAGGTTGTAATTCCATAAGGTACTCATGTTGATGATTAGTGATGTGTAAAGGCGGAATTACTGGGTGAAATTCCCTCCCTCTCATTCTGTTAAAATTTAAGTTTATAAGGGTTAAAAGATGTATAATGGATAAGGTTATGGGTTTCACAATCCTAAAAGGATTTCTATTCCTAAAGGAGGTCACATTCCTAAAGGGATTTCTATTCCTAAAGGAGGTTCCCCATTCCTCTTGAAAGAGGGTTTCTCATCACATCTATAAATACCCAAGAAAAATCTAGGGATCTTAACGGTTTCAAATCTCTAAGTTTTCTAGTCTCCGTATCATCAGGAGGTGAATTATAAGGTATACGGATTAGAGAGGTGAAGCATTATATTCTTGATTCATTCAATTTAGAGATTACATCTTCAATGGAACCAAGTAAGTCTTATCTTTCCTATTTAATTAAAAGTCCATGATCATGAACATTGTTTAGTTGATTGATTTGATTTACATGCGATCATTGTTAATTGTGCTTCCGCATTTAAGTTATAGCGCATAAAGGATTATTTAACACGGAAGTCTCCGGGAGTCAACGTGCCGCCGACCGCTTTCCACCAAACATCTCCGATAATTATTGGGTAAAGCATTCGTGCTGATAACGTGTTGTAAGAATATTAGAATAGATAAAGAGAGAAGAGGGAAGGTTAAGATTCTCATTCATCATACCAAATACTTATACAAAGGTATTACAAATATAAGGTAATGAATACATATAAAAGGTACACTACCTTATCAGTTACAACTGCTATCATATATATAATAATGTCCACATATATAATATTTATAACACGGCTTTGTATTTTTTAATCAATTTATATTATTACCGTTGTCTTATTTACATATCTTAGTTTTAAGCCAAACACAATAATCTAACATTATCAGCAATCTAATATTCCATAAGATAATCTAACATTTCGTGAACCAAACGCCCCCTAAAGGTCCAAATTAGACAACGTAACGGCAAATTATGCTGTGCATCAAAATGACGTCGTTTTGACTAAAAACGCGCGTCCACTTTAAAAAAAAATCAGTTTCGATTCCCCACAACATCATTATGTTGTGCATAATTTGAACTATATATCCAGAATCAATGAACTAAAAATCCAAAATAAATGAACTAAAAATCCAAAATAAATGAACTAAAAATCCAGAATCAATGAACTAAAAATCCATAACGAATGAACTAAATATCCATAATGAATGAAAAAAAAATCAGTTTTGATTTCCGTCTAAATATCCAGAATCAATGAACTAAAAATCAAGAATCAATGAACTAAAAATTCAGAATCAATGAACTAAAAATCCAGAATGAATGAACAACATAATGCTGTTGAGGGAAATCGAAACTAATTTTTTTTTAAAAAAAGTGGGACGCGCGTTTTTAATCAAAATGGGGTTATTTTTGTATCCGTGGTGCACACGGATGCACAACATAACGATTGCAACGTAACTGAGTCAGCTGGCGGGCTCAAATCTTTTTGTAGAGAAGCTAAGGTTGATGTGATTTGGAAGGGTGCTCAAATTTGTTCCTTTACACATCCACAAATATGAGAAAAGTACAGTGAATTGCTGATAAGCATTCACATCCTCAAAAACAACTGACCCGACAGGCGGCCTCTCAACTTTTTATAGACAAGCCATGTTGATGTGAGGTCAAAAATTTGTGCCTTTACACATCAAACATGATAAATGTAAGAATTGCATATTGGCATTCAAATACCAGGTTCTTGTGAGCAGCATGTGGGAAGTTTCCCTAGCTAGATTGCCCATTACATCAACCAAAGATGAGTCATCATATCATCACATCCACCTCCTCCTTCCCCCATACTTTTTTTTTTTTTAATTCACAATAATCTTTTAGAAATATAATTTTTTAAAAGAAAAGCAGATACGCTGAAAGGGACTAATTATAAATCTCATCTCATCTTGTAACCTTTCTGGGTCATGATGATCAATATCTGACTCCTCCAACTGCCCACTACTTAACCTATATATATACACGTTATTTATGGAAGAATCAGTTGTATACCACAAATCATCAGTTCATTCGAGTCTACTCATCCTTTAGGCTTTATTAGCAAAGATAATTTCTTGTTATCCTTCCAAATACAAAACAACAAAAGTAAGTTAGAGATGAAGCAAAACTAGATGAAATCAAGAACTGGAGAGAACCTGCAGGTTCCCATCAACTACTGGCCAGTTTTATTGAATCAGAGCTCAACAAAACAGGCACTTCCTCATTCTGCCGCCACCCAATACCATCTGTCTTCCAGTTCAAAACAAAGAAATGGTGCAGTGAAATTAATGCCCAAGATAACAGACACTGTGAAGAGCAAGCTGATTCTTGGGGCAAAACTTCTCCAAGCAGGTGGCGTCCAAAAGGTGTTCAACAAGGAATTCAGTGCTAAAGAAGGGGAAAAGCTGTTGAAGGCATCTCAATGTTATTTATCAACAACATCTGGTCCAATGCCTGGTCTACTCTTTGTTTCTACTCATAAACTTGCCTTCCTTAGTGAGAGATCAATCAAAATCCCTTCTTCAACCGGAAAGTCCAAGAGAATGCATTATAAGGTGTCAATCCCAATTACAAAAATTAAGAGAGCAAATGAAAGTGAGAATTTGAAGAATCCATCAGAGAAGTACATACAAGTAGTCACAGAAGATCATTTTGAGTTCTGGTTTATGTGGTTCCCACATCATCAAAGAACCTTAAAATATCTCCAAAATGCAATTTCTCAGGCTCAGTATTCTTAGAAATATTTCTGTATGATAATAATATACTTGTAAAATGTGGACAAAGCATGTATATATGATTGAATGATTTTCTGAAGTTCTTGAAAATATGTCTATTGGATATTGTTAAGTAGTTAATTTAATATTTCAGAGTACCAATTATTCAAACAATATTTTGGTTTTATTGAGTATTGAATATTTGAAATTTCTGTATTCGTGTTAAGATTTTAGTTTCAACATATTCGTTTGAGAGATTGACTTATATCTGAACTAGTATGTGACTTGATAAATCAGAGGTGCATCAATGATAAGATTTAGTGTGAAAATAAAATCAAACAGAAAGAAAGACAACACGGGATATTGTTTACCCAATTGGATACAATAATATCTACGTCTAGGGGATTATCATCAAGCTTATAGAGGATTGTTGAATCAAGCTTATAGAGGATTGTTGAGGCATAGATCTAATTAGTAGAGAAATCAAAGAGTCCCTTGTTTGGAGATCCATGCTGTCACGCTGTCACTGTCCAACCCACTGAACCACAATTATATAGAGTACGGTTCACAAATCAACACAATAAAGATTGTCTTCTCAATAGAACGATTCAGTTGTGAACATGATAACATTGAGAAGATCTATGGTGATTTGAAGAATGAACTATAAATCGCACAAGTATGCACATGGACACAAACTTTAATTTGTTCCTTGCTTTTGTAAGGTTCTATTACAATGTAGTATCTGTTCACTTTCTCACCCAACTGAAACACAAAAAACCAATAACGCCTCCACTAAGGCTCAAACTTACAACCTTCCAAATGAAAGTTTAACCCAGGTACCATTAAACCACATAGTCCTGGACTCTTGGTCCTTGCTTTCGTATTTTACACTGAAAATATATATTAATCAAAGTACAATTAATAATTATGTGGGCAATATTTAAGTCATATTTTCCTAAATCAAAAGCTTTTGGAATACATATACGTACAAATTAATAATGCACGATACATGCATGTCATATTTCAAGGTAAAATGTGACCATTTCATTATTATTATTATTATTATTATTATTATTATTAAGATTGATTATATATATATATATATATATATATATATATATATATATATATATATATAATGAATAGGATTGTATTGATGATACTCATATAACATTGTGAATCCCTGAGGTTGATCAATTGTGATATAGAGGGCGAAAATGAATTTCTACTTTCAATGTTATGGCATCGTGTGACTTTGATATGTGTTTCACTTTTATATATGTTGGATGGAAGGACAGTATATGATACATGTGTATTTCTTCATGCAATTAATACACCACATCAATGAACTTTCCTAAGCCGTCACAAGGTATCATATTTCTATTACTTTAACTCAAATAAAAATCATATTATTTTATTCCGAGTTTTTTTTCCCAAAATGGTCCATCGACTATTGCACATTCACAAGAAAAAATTTCAATTTTGGTCCACTGACTATTGGAGTTGTGTTAATTGCAACATTTGACTTTCAAAAATGTTAATTTAATACCTTGACTATGCAATTTCTATCAATTTTGGTCACGTCAGCCAAATCTCACCAGAAAAATTTAATAAGTTAAATTAGGAGGATAATTTAGTCATTTCACTCATCTTTTATTTCTTCTCTGATGAACTTCTCTCCATTTCCGGCGGCGTCGATTTCTTCTCCGAGCTTCTCTCAATTTCCTGAATCTGCCCTGCGGCCCAGTATTATTTCCGTTGAGAGATAGAGGGGTCATGTGTTTTGGCAGTGATACCAAATGTTTCAAATTTGAAGCAACTAATTGCAACCAGATTATTGACCTTACTTCACCGTAAGCATGAGATTCAAATTTTAAAGCTAGTTTGGAAGCACGAGATTCAAATTTTAAAGCTAGTTTGTGTAAAGAGAGAAAGCCGTCGATGAGTATTGACGTACCTGCGAAGAAGAAATTTGAATGGATTGTGCTCAGAAGCTCGAGTCCAGTGCGCGAGAAGAACGAGAGAAGGCACAGAGGGGTCCGACGGCGGCCATGGGGGAAGTTCACGGCGAAGATCCGAGATCCAAAGCGGCGCGGGAGTAGAGTTTGGCTCGACATGTTCAACACTGCAATCGAGGCCGTGAAAGCCTACGATCTGGCGTCGTTCAGACTACGAGGAAGGAAAGCAATCCTGAACTTTCCTTCGGAAGCTGCGAAGCACAAGCTTCAGATGGTGACGCAGGTCGCCATGGACGGTGGGGTGAAGCAACGACGAAGAAATCATCAAGCTGAAAGAAAAGATTGAGTAAAAGGACTAAACTACCCTTATTATTTGACCAATTAAATTTTTCCGGTAAGATTTGATCGGCAATTTGACCGGCGTGACCAAAATTGATAGAAATTGTATAGTCAATGTACTAAATTAACATTTTTGAAAGTCAAGTGTTGCAATTAACACTACTCCAATAGTTAGTGGACCAAAATTGAAATTTTCTCTCATTCAAAATTTTACATTTCGACTTTCAATTGCACCAAATGCAATCCCTCGATTTTTAAAAACTCACCCAATTTAGTCCTCTGTTAGGTTTTTCGTCTACTCAGTGTTAAAATGGAGGACATTTTTGTCCGTTTACCTTTTATACGCCTAATATACGCTGAGAAATAGTTGAGGGACCATTTATATTTTAGACTCTATCAAATTAGAATTTCTATAGATTTTTTTTGTACAAATATAATAGATAAAATCCCACAGAACAACCTCAAAATTTTAAACTTTCTCTACAAATTTTTTCCTCTGTCTAAACATATAACCCAACCACAAAATTTTAAACTTTCTCTACAATTTTTTTTTTGCTCGATCTAAACATACAAAGTTTTCATCTATCTCTACAAAAGTTTTACAATAAGTTTCTTAACTCTCATATATAAATACTCATATAGCTTTTATTTTTATCTTTTAATGTTCAATAGACAATCAATCATTATGTATCACATTAAATATTATTTTTATCGTTGAAAATAACATTTTTATTTTTTTACATACCATGATAAAAAAGTTTTGCTTTCTAATTTAAGTTTATTAATATTCATATATATATATATATATATATATATATATATATATATATATATATATATATATATATATATATATATATATATATATATATATATATATATATAAAATACAAACAAATATCAAAACAACAAGAACATGTAATTTTGGTAAATGATGAGGCTTTAGGTTTAGGATTGTATGTTTTGTGCTAATTATTTTTGCATTTGGCCTTGCAAGCTAAGTTAAGACGACTTTTCAAAATTATTTTCAACATTTTGTCATTAATCGAGAAGTGAAGCGTACTTCTTAGAAGTGCTAGAAGCACCTCTCTAACTAAGAAGTGCGCCATCAATCGTGTGACCGAGAAGTAAACTAACCTTCCGGTTACATGTAAGAGTTTACTTTTCGGCTTAGCCAAGAAGTTTACCGGAAAAACTTACCTCCCGTCCAACATTTTTCCTACATTTTACACTCTTTGGGTGTCTAAACTCGAAAAAATAATAATGTTATTTTCAATGATAAAAATAATATTTAATGTGATACATAGTGATTGATTGTCTATTGAACTTTTTAGTATATATATATATATATATATATATATATATATATATATATATATATATATATATATATATATATATATATATATATATATATATATATATGAGTGAGATTTGTATTCAATGTGCGTGAGTGTTGTGCTTAATGTGACTGAGATTTGTACTTAATGTGCATGAATAATGTGTAAAATGCAGCAGAAAATATTGATGTTAGCTTCTTCCCCATCCCAAGTAGCCATTTGCCCCCTCCCTGATGATGATGATGCGGAGGCGAGCTATGGTGGTTAAAAATTATGAGAATAATACAACAGAAATCCACACTTAGCTGCTGTGCAAATTTTACTGTGCAGTGCGTGCGTCATTTATATAAACATTCAACTGCATTGAAGGTAGCTGATAATCCAGAATCCATGGCCAAATTGAAGGAAGAAGTAACAAGAAGCTTAGGCGTTAATGTGCATGAGTTTCTGTTCTGCTTCCTTCTGAGCTTGTAATTCTGAAATTCGCACGCACATTAAGCACAAATCTCACGCACATTAAACAGAATACTCAGGCACATTAAATACAAAACTCACGCATATTAACATGACGCACATTAAGTACAAATCTCAGGCACATTGAGTATAAATCTAACGCACATTAAGTATAAACCTCACGCACATTAATCCACCGAACATCCGCACGAGAAGCAACAAATGCACCTGATCCCTTCCCTATATATATATATATATATATATATATATATATATATATATATATATATATATATATATATAGAGAGAGAGAGAGAGAGAGAGAGAGAGAGAGATTTAGGTTCTCGTGCGGGTGAGGGCTTCAGGTGCGGTTGTGCGGTTTAATCTGAGCCATCCATCTCGCTTTAATCAACGTCCAGGATTATCAAAGTTAAAAAAAAAACGCGGTGGCAATTTTGTAATTTTTGCATCTAGGTCAAAATTAAGGTGAGCGGATCTGTGATTAATGTGCGTGAGTTTTGTGCTTAATGTGCGTTTGTTTTGTGCTTAATGTGCGTGCGATTTGTGCTTAATGTACGTGGGGATATGCTTAACGTGAATAGTTGTTAAAAGTTAAAGTCTGTGAGTGAATACTTAAAGTGCGTGAGTTTTGTGCTTAATGTGCGTCATGTTTGTGCTTAATGTGCGTGGGTTTTGTACTTAATGTGCGTGAGTTTTGTACTTGGTTGTTGAAACTTAAAGTTTGTGAGTTAATATTTAAAGTGCGTGAGTTTTGTACTTAATGTGCGTGAGGTTGTGCTTAATGTGTGTGGGTTTTGTACTTAAAGTGCGTGAGTTTGTGATTAAGATCTAACACTTAAGGTGCACTAAGCCTCCGACTTGCCCTGGGCTTTGGCAAAACCCTCAAGCAAAGCTGCGCTACTCCTAAGCAAGATAAAAGGAGAAATCCAAATTCAAAGTATAGAATTGATGAGTTGATGAGTTGATGAGTTGAATGAGTCTCCTCCTCGCCTTCCTGGTATTCGCACACTGGGCTTTGGCAAGCGTTTTTTTTTTTTAAATTTCCATTGATTTGAGTCGTTGATCTAAATTTGATCAACTGCTCATATTTAACCGCACAACCGCACGGGAAGCTATACCCGCACCTGAACCCTTCCATATATATATATATATATATATATATATATATATATATATATATATATATATATATATATATATAAAGTATAAAATTACGAAACTTATTGTAAAACTTGATAGTGATAGAAGAAAACTTTGCATGTTTAGACATAGGAAAAAAAATTGTGGAGAACGTTCAAATGTTGAGATTGGATTGTGAAATTTTATCTATTATATTTATACGAAGAAAAATGATAGAAATTCAAATCTGATAGAGTCTAAAATATAAAAATAAACAAAAATGAGATAAAAAAAAAAGTTTTTCCCAAAATGGTCCCTTGACTATTTCTCAGTGTATATTAGGCGATAGGTAAGCGGAAGAAAATACCCTCCATTTTAACATTGAGTATATGAAAAACCAAACGGAAGACTAAATTGGGTGAGTTTTTGAAAGTCGATAGACCACATTTGGTGCAATTGGAAGTTAAAATGCAAAATTGAGAATGAGCAATAGTAGGGGGATCATTTTGGGAAAAAAACTCCTTTATTCCTTATTTTCAATGTTATATATATTTTTTTAAAAAAGATATTATTTGGTGGATGGAGGATATCGTGATAGACAAGGATATTTGGTATTGTATTCATGAATAAGGTATCATCAATCTCTATTTGAACAAGAGCCACCACTAATGCTCAAAAAGTATTCAATCATGCACATTTGACTTGTCTTCGAAGTTGTATTGAGAGGTAGTTTGGAGTATTGAAGAAGAAATGGATGATACTTCTAAAATGCAATAGTTTAGTATGCAGACCCGGCCTAATTGATGTTATTATGACTACATTTGCACTACATAATTATATTCGGAAGAATTCGCAAGATGACATAATGTTTAATGTGCTTGAGCAGCATCCAGATTACATACTGCCCGATGAACTTCAAGATTCAAATAATAATATATCTCCATCAACGAAAATTTAATTGAAATCTCTATTGAAATTAAGGAGATTCACAACAATATTGCTACTTCATTATGAGATGTTATATCATGATTTTGCTAATAGTTTTAGTTTTTAACACTTTAGTTTTCAGCTTCTAGGTTATATCTTTTCAGCTAAAGTTTCAACTTTCAGCTAACCTTTTAACTAGGTTTGCCCAACATAGCGACATCTACGGGAAGACATACACATAAATCTTGGGGTCTGCCATTACCTAACCAAAATGATTGAGGCGTTTGACGAATAAGGCCTGCCAATAGTGAGCGCGTGCAGTCAACCATCCTTTTGCTGCCTTGTACATCTTCCGGTGTACCCACCTACGACTAAGGTCTGCCGAAATATTGACTCCGGCCTACTTGAGAACAATACAATAATTTCAACATTGGCGGTTACAAAGAAAAATATTTCTGGAATCTAAGTTCCTAAAATACATCTAATAACATCATCAAAATCTATACAACAATTATTCTCAACAATATATACAATTTGAATTTGTAACATGGATGAAGGCATTCTCATATGCAGAGGTGAGAGGTGTAAGGTCAAATGTCAAAATGAGCTCCAAAAGCTTGAGTAGATTAAGAAGTGCTCGATCCTATATCCACAAAATTTAAGGTCCAAATCAAACAACTGAGTCGGCTGGCGGCCTCAAGTCTTTTTATAGACAAACTAAGGTTGATGTGATTTGGAAAGGTGGTCAAATTTTGTGCCTTTACACATCAAACATGATAAAAGTAAGAATTGCATATGGGCATTCAAATACCAGGTTCTTGCATTGTGAGTAGCATGTGGGAAGTTTCCCTGGCTAGATTGCCCATTACATGAATCAAAGATGAGTCATCATATCATCACATACTTTTTTTAATTCACAATAATCTTTTAAACATATAAATCTCATCTCATCTTGTAACCGTTTTGGGTCATAATGATCAATATGTGACTCGTCCAACTGCCCACTACTTAACCTATATATATACACATTATTTATGGAAGAATCAGTTCATTCGAGTCTACTCACCCTTTAGGGGCAATTTATATCCTACACCATGACACGCGTTGCACTGTGCACCCAGATGCAAAACGACGTCGTTTTAATTTAATTTAATTTTTTTTTTTTGAAATTTCACGCCCCAGTGTATGGCAGTTAATTTTTTTTTTTTTTTTTTTTAAATTCCATGTTCAAAAATGTACATAATGTTATACTATAATACACATAATTGTATACATGAATGTACATAATTATATAACAAAATATACATACTCTTTTTAAAAGATAATACACATAATCTAGCATAATACATAATAAACATAAACTTTTAACATAATACACATCAACTCTTAACATAATACACACAAATTTTCTGATTCGGATGTACATAATTGTATAAAAAGAATGTACATAATTGTAAAAAAAATGTACATAACTGTATGAACAAATATACATAATTGTGTGAACAAATATACATAATCACAGCAACTTCCTACCGCGCCTCCCAAAACGACCCCAAAACTACGTCGTTTTGGGAGGCGCGCGGCGCACAGTGCTATGCGTGCCATGGTGTAGGGTATAACGATTGCCCTTTAGGCTTTAGCAAAAATAATTTCTTGTTATCCTTCGGTCCTTCCAAATACCAAAAAACAAAAACTACTGGGCAGTTTTATTGAATCAGAGCTCAACAAAACAGGCACTTCCTCATTCTGCCGCCACCCAATGCCATCTGTCTTCCAGTTCAAAACTAAGAAATGGTGGAGTGAGATTAAGGCCAAAGATAACAGACACTGTGAAGGGCAAGCTGATTCTTGGGGCAAAACTTCTCCAAGCAGGTGGCGTCCAAAAGGTGTTCAACAAGAACTTCATTACTGTTAGAGACGGCGAAAAGCTGTTGAAGGCATCTCAATGTTATTTATCAACAACATCTGGTCCAATGCCTGGCTTACTCTTTGTTCTACTCGTAAACTTGCCTTCCTTAGTGAGAGATCAATCAAAATCCCTTCTTCAACTGGAAAGTCAATGAGAATGCACTTTAAGCCTATAAGGTATCAATCCCAATTGCAAAAATTAAGAGAGCAAATGAAAGTGAGAATTTGAAGAATCCATCAGAGAAGTACATTCAAGTAGTCACGGAAGATCATTTTGAGTTCTGGTTTATGTGGTTGTTACATCATCAAAGAACCTTGAAATATCTCCAAAATGCAATTTCTCAGGCTCAGTATTCTTAGAAATATTTCTGTATAATAATATACTTGTAAAATGTGACCAAAGCCTGTATATGTGATCGAATGATTTTTTAAGTTCTTGAAAAATTTGTCTATTGGATATTGTTAAGTAGTTAATTTAATATTTCAGAGTACCAATTATTCAAATAATATTTTGGTTTTATTGAGTATTGAATATTTGAAATTTCTGTATTCGTATTAAGATTTTAATTTCAATAATATATTCTGTTTGAAAGACTGACTTATTTCTGTATCAACACTCACCACGTACTACACCACAGTTGTATAGAGTACGGTCTACAAATCAACACAATGGAGATTGTCTTCTCAATAGAACGATTTAGCTCTGACCATGATGATATTGAGAAGGTGGTGATTCGAAGAATGAACTGTAATTCGCACGGGAAGAAGAAGCCTCTCAAGTATAAGATATTCTCTCGTGTGTAATGTCTCAAGGCTGCAAACTTCTTCAAATATATAAGAGGTATTCGAATCTTTGATGACAAGTAATCTCTTAGGGTTACCATGTAGACTGTTAGAAATAAGCAGTTATAGAAGATGAAAGGCATAACAATAAATAGGCTAGGAGGTGAAAAGTCTGTGAAACTGTCCATTGTTATAGTATATATATCTGAGTTGTAAGCAGTCAAAGAACACACACAATAAACAGAGAAACAGGGAAACGAGGTTAGTATCCACAACTTCTTCCATTTTAGTTTTCTACATGGTATCAGAGCCGGTGAGAGTGAAGTAGTGGGCTTTGCTCGGAACGGGAGGACGACGCCGGAGCTCGAGTCGCGACGTCACCGGAGCAGCCACGCGCCACCGTCACAGACTGCTCGCCGACTCACGCGCCGGCGCGTGAAGGAGTTTTCCGGCGACCATCTTCGACGGCGAATACACCGGTGGGCTCGCCGTAAAGTGTAGAGTCCGTATGAGTGGAGAGAAAGAGGTTTCGAGCAACTTCATATCGTTCGCGAGAGAGAAGACAAACCTGCTGTGCGGTAATATTGTTTGTTTTTGCCTTTTGGAGTAGTGTGTGCCTTTCTTTGTGCCTTCTGGAGTGTTGTTGAATATTGGATAATGGAAGTTCAGTATTGTGGTTCAGTACTGCGGTAATTTCATATCCAGCTTTAATTTGGAGTATTGCTGTGTTTTTTTTTACTGGGCACGTATATAATATGGCAGAAAACAAAAATATTACTGTTGTGTCTACTCCGTCTAAATTAATTGATGTAGTTCTGGCTGCTGATGGGTCTAATTTTGCTGAATGGAAATTTTTGGTCAAAATTAATTTGGATGGAATGGGTAAAGGTGACCATTTAGATACAGATTGCCCTCCAGATAATAAGGAGTGGGAGGCAGATGATAAAGCTTTGTTATCGCGGGTAATTAATTGTATTGATAGGAAAGTGATCTTATCAATGCAACATTGTACCACGGTTAAAGCAGTGTGGGATCTAGTGTCTGAATGGTTTAGTGGGTCAAGTAATTTGAGGAAACTGTATCAGTTGTCCCAGGATGTTTATCGTCCTAATCAAAAGGGTCGAGATCTACGAGATTACTATTATGATTTCAAAAGTTTAAGTGAAGCTTTATGTACTGCGATGCCTATTACAACTGATGTAAAAACAATGAAAGCTCAACGTGATCAATTAATTGCCTTTAGCTGGATTTCTGGACTTGACAAAGAGTATGAGGTTCTTAGGTCACAATTGCTGGGAAACAAAGAGTTAGGATCATTGGATCAAGTATTCTCCCAGATACAGAATGCATCAGTAAGTACTGATGAACCCCCCGAGAAGAACGTTTTTATATCACAAGGCAGCAATAACGAAGGAAGTACGTTTGTGTCGCAAGGGAGGTATACTAATGAAGGGTACAATAGTCACGGTGGAGGTGGTCGTCATCGAGGACGTGGAGGAAGGGGCCGCGGAGGAGGTCGTGGAGGACCAAGGGTATGTTTCAATTGTGGAGAACCAGGACATTTCAAGAATCAATGTCCTAAACCACCAAGACAGCAAAGATTTGCTAACACAACCTCTGGGCCTGAAGGACATATGGTGGTTATGACAAATGAGGAGTTAGCAGTATTCAATCAACTGAAGGGGTCTTCTCTTGTGCAGTCTCCACCCCAGTTTCCATCCAATCAATCGACTTCTTCTGCCACCTTTGTCCAAACAGGTAATCCTGTTGCATGTGTGTCTTCTTCATCTACACAATGGGTCATTGACTCCGGAGCTAGTGACCATATGACAGGTAATTCTAAAATTTTTTCCTCATATTCTTCATCAAACCCTGGGGCCATGGTTACTCTGGCAGATGGGTCATCTGTTCCAGTTTTAGGTCGAGGCAGTGCTGTTGCAACCTCCTCATTACCTTTGTCATCTATATTATATCTTCCAAAGTTTCCCTTTAATTTGCTTTCCATTAGCCAAATCACACGGACTTTGAATTGTTTTGTCTCCTTTTTTCCGGGTTATTGTTTATTTCAGGATCTTTTGACGAAGAAGATTATTGGTAAGGGGAAGGAAATCGGAGGACTATATGTTTTGGAACAGTCTGTATCTCCGTCCAAGGCCATGTTGAGTGATACCTCTCCTCTTCAACTACACTGTCGGTATGGTCATCCATCACTGTCGATCCTAAAGAAGTTGTTTCCTGGTTTAGAGTCATTGTCTACTTTGCAGTGTGAGTCGTGTGAGTTTGCTAAGCATTGTCGGGGTTCCTATCCTCCTCGTGTCAATAACAGAGTGCAATCTATATTTGATCTTGTTCATTCTGATGTCTGGGGTCCTTGTCATGTCACAGGGACGAACGGGTTTAGATATTTCGTAACATTTGTAGACGACTTCTCTAGGTGTACGTGGTTATATCTTATGAAATCTAGAGATGAGTTGTTTACAATTTTTTGTAATTTTTGTGCTGAGATCAAAACCCAGTTTAATAAAAGTATTAAGTGTGTGCGAAGTGACAATGCACAAGAGTATTTCTCTAAACCTTTTTCCACTTATATGAGCCAAAATGGGATGGTTCATCAGTCCTCGTGTGCGTATACCCCTCAGCAAAATGGAGTGGCAGAAAGAAAGAACCGTCATGTGTTAGAAGTCGCTCGGGCACTTTTGTTTCAGATGAAGGTGCCTAAGGTTTTTTGGTCTGATGCTGTTCATACTGCGTGTTTTTTGATCAACAGGATGCCTTCATCTGTCCTTAAAGGACAAATTCCTTATTCTTTGGTGTATCTAACAGAACCTCTCTTTCATCTCCCACCAAAAATATTTGGATGCACTTGTTTTGTCCAGGATGTTCGTCCTCAACGCAGGAAACTTGATCCTAAATCACTTAAGTGTATATTCCTGGGGTACTCGCGTACTCAAAAGGGTTATAGGTGTTATTCACCTCACTTGGGGCGGTATTTAGTGTCAGCTGATGTTACCTTCTTTGAAAACATGGTGTTCTCTGGGGATGTGGGATCGTCTGGGTATGGGTCTACTCCAGATAATGATTTCCTTACGTATACTATTACCATACCAGTCGAGTCTGTTTCTAGGCCCCCCATTACACAGGTTTATACTCGACGGCCGAGAGATGCAGTGGCACCGCCTGAACCGCAAGTGGATACTTCCCCCTTACCAGAATCTTCGTCAAATGACCTGGATCTTCCCATTGCCCTTCGTAAAGGTAAACGTCGTTGTCAAAACCCTATTTCCTCTCTTGTGTCTTATGATCATTTGCCACTATCATCTCGCACCTTCGTATCACGTTTAGATTCTGTGTCAGTTCCAAACACTTTGAGTCAAGCAATAGCTCATGATGGGTGGAGACACGCAATGGAGGAAGAGATGGTTGCTCTTGAAGACAATCATACTTGGGATTTGGTACCCCTCCCGGCTGGTAAGACGGCAGTTGGTTGCAAATGGGTTTATGTTGTGAAAATGAATCCTGATGGGTCTGTGGCTAGACTTAAAGCTCGTTTAGTGGCAAAGGGATATACACAGACTTATGGTGTTGATTATACAGAAACATTCTCCCCTGTCGCTAAGATCGCTTCAGTACGTATTTTTATTTCCTTAGCTGCGTCTAAACATTGGCCTCTGTATCAGCTAGATGTCAAAAATGCCTTTTTGCATGGTAAGTTGGATGAGGAAGTCTACATGGAGCAACCTCCTGGGTTTGTTGCTCAGGGGGAGTCTGGGAGAGTGTGTAAATTGAAGAAGTCTCTATATGGCTTGAAGCAATCACCACGAGCTTGGTTTGGGAGGTTTAGTAGCGTGATTATTGAGTTTAGTATGCAAAGGAGTATGTGTGATCATACTGTCTTTTTCAAGCACACTAATGTTGGGTGCATTCTCTTGATTGTTTATGTTGATGATATAGTAATCACAGGTAGTGATGCAGTGGGAATTGAAGCTCTTAAATCTTTTCTCAAAGAAAAGTTTCACACGAAAGATTTGGGAGTATTGAAGTATTTTCTAGGGATTGAAGTTGCTCGCTCTCGGAGAGGAATATTTCTTTCCCAAAGGAAATATGTGTTAGATTTGCTTGATGATACTGGGCTGTTGGGATCAAAACCATGCGAGACCCCTATGGAGCAGGGCGTTAGACTTGTGGCTGGTGAGGGGGAGGCTTTTGACTCTCCAGAAAGATATAGGAAGTTGGTGGGAAAGTTGAACTATCTCACCATTACGCGTCCAGACATTGCTTTTCCAGTCAGCGTGGTAAGTCAATTCATGCAAGCACCTACACGAGCTCATTGGGAAGCAGCAGTTCGAATTGTAAAGTATCTCAAGAATGCGCCCGGTAAAGGCATTCTATATGCTGATCATGGACATATGAGAATTGAGGCTTTTTCAGATGCTGATTGGGCAGGTTCGTTGAGCGACAGGAAGTCTACAACAGGATATTGTGTGTTCGTGGGAGGTAATTTGGTTTCTTGGAAAAGCAAGAAACAAACTGTTGTGGCTCGGTCCAGTGCGGAATCTGAGTATAGGGCAATGGCTCATGTGACATGTGAGATAACTTGGGTGCACAATATGTTGAAGGAAGTTGGTGTGGAAGTGGTAAA